ACATAAGACTTATTTGAGACAAGTGAACAAATGGTTAAAAGGTGATAACAGCGACTAAAAATGACGTCAAAGAGTCGAGCAAGAAGAATTCTTCCAACAAATCGAACTTTCAGCTGCCTGTGAAACGACGGTTATGACGATTGGGTAGCGTATAAGACAACGTGTGTGCCTGAGAAACTACAGACAAGTTGAAAGCCAAACTACTTTACAAGTGAGCACTACTTTGCATCTACTCGGACAGTCTGCAACGAGGTTCATGAGTACAAAAGTATGAATGATCACTGCAATTTACAGTCTTCCTTGCTTCAGGTTTGTGCAAGCCAATGAGAGTCAGAACAGTTCTCCGGGAAACTGGGTTTAAGCAGATGGTGAGAACAGATTGGACCATAGAGTTAGTACCCAACAGTAACGAGCAACCATAAATTACGGCTGAACAATAGGAAATTCAGAATAACTTGGTTAATTCAAACTGTACTTGAACTTATAGGGATGAAGATCGACAGGGCTATTGCGAAAGGAGCACAGCAAGATACTGATACCGTACAAACCACCTGGAAATCCAGTTATGTCGAAACAGAGCCAAAACTGGGTTCACCTGAATCGTTAGAACCTTCAGCACTTTCAGATGATGACTGCATGCTCCGGTAGACATAAGGCTTTGTTTCTTATGGATGGTACGAACGATCTCAAATGCAGTTGATGAACCCATCTGTAGGTCATGGATAAGATTCAATGACTATCACCCAGCACGAGACTGAGATGAGCTTACTACTACAACTAGCAGAATCAACGAAACGAAGTACACGGGATAGAATATTTCTTTGAAAGTCTTCAAATGGTAAGATAGAGCTGTCCTCGTTGACATGTAATCCAATTGCTCCTGTGAAAGCTGAAATCACGGCATATGAGAGGATGACCCATCCCGATGAACTTACATTGAACGGAAGGCTACTCGGGTCAAACTCACTATATCCAATGTAGAATGTTACTGATGATACGAAAGAAAGAAAGAATACTATGATAACACAGAGAATAGGGAACAGATTCAGTGTCTGTAAGAAGAAAAAGGAAGATGAAGCTAAAAGACTGGCACACACTTACCCTAAGTAAGTGAGTATGATCGACTATCAGGTACAAACGGAACAATAAAGTACAAAGAACAGTTGAACCATAAGATCCGAAGATGAAGCAAAGGATTGTGTAGCTGTTTCCACATGTTAGACCAATCAGGTAACAGTATCCTTCACAGTAGACAAAACTGTAATTGAGATGAGTTACAAACTTTAAAACTAGAGAATACTGGATACAGAATAGGAATGTCGTAGCCTGCAATATAGAACTGAAAGAGGAGACTAGAGAGAGTAACTTACTCCTTGAGCGTGAACAAATATCTTGTAGTAGTGAGACTCCTTACTTGGAGGTGACAAGTAGATAATCAGATAACTGAGACCGTAAGTAACACAGGTACAGCTGATGAGAATATTGTGAATCATTTTATATGTTTCATTATCGGGCAACTGATGATTCGATAGATAGGAGTCATAGCTGGACATGACAACGATGAAGTTCAATTCGCATTCGAAGGAACCGAGTTCTCTGCAACCTGATTATTCTAATGGAATTCACGCCTGAAATCTATGCATACATCAACGGCAGACAGCTGCAACTGCTCTCGTTCATTTTCTCAGCCACTAACTAATTCATCTGAATATTTTTTTGTTCGTTTTGAGCTTTCATATGCCTATGCTCTTTCAGAACCAGCGATTGCTTCTACTGCATTTGGTTTATTAGTTGTTTGGATTATTCTTATTTGATCCGTAAACGTCGTATCAGATTCATGATATGATATGATCAAGCAAATCAAGCCGTCGAGTGGTGTTTATGCCAGGTGCTACTCACCTCAAGAGCTCGAGAAGGAGCAACGAGAATGAAGACGAGGAGAGATAGCAATAAAGGAAGACAGCATTGACCGTTTTGATGTACACGGAAACCCAACATCCGTTATCAAACAATCTGAAATGAATTCTCAACTAACTTTATTGACCCGTTGTTATGTTAACCACACACATAATTACATGATTATATATAATTCTTATACTTCCTACATGTATGAGTTGGCATAGAACAATCTGAAACAGATGGTTCACTTCGCATTCGAGACATGCAATAGC